CACGGCGGAGGAGCCGGGAGTCCGGCCTGTCCTTCCTGCGGTGACGAGGGCAGCAGCGAGGGCCTTCCTGGCTCATTCACGGCCAGTTTGCGTGTCCCTGCCTGGCAGGCGAGGCAGGCGGCAGAGCTGAGCACCCAGGGCACGGGGAGGCTGAGGCACGGCGCCCGAGCCCTCGGTGCCTGATGCCGCACCAGGCAGGGAATCCCGGGCGCAGGCTGCAGCTGCTGAGGGCGCCGGGCACAGGCTTCGGGGGTCCCCGGGCTGGGCCCCCCGCCTCCTGCGGCTCCCCCAGGCTGGGCCCCCGGTCGGGACTTGCTGACCCCCACCTGGGAAGACCCTCTGCAGGCCCATTTCATTCTCCCCCTCTTCCAGACTTCCCCCCGCCAACTGCCTCCCCAGGGCCTCCGTGCACCCATCTCCTGCCCGGGTGTAGGCGGGCATGGGGTGGCAGCGAGTGGGCTCCCCGACGGCCAGGCCAGAGCCCTCGGGCGCTGGCTGAACAGACATGCATGGTGTTTTCGACGGACGTGTGCAGACCCAAGGCGCTCGGGCGCCCCCAAACGTGCTCCACGTGGCCCCTCTCGGAGGTCCAGCACTGCCCAGGCACCGACAGCATGGCGGTCACCCGAAGCCACGGCCCTCTCAGTCCCGGAGAGAAACAGTTCTCCGCCCGCCTGGGACGGCTTAGGACGTCTCCCTCCATCCCTGGCAGGGACTGGGCGGTCGCCTGCTTGGAACGGGGGCGGGGGGTCACACTCAGAGGGGGCCACGGGCCGCTGCCCGCACGTCCCTGCCCCACCTGCTGACACCCCGGGGCTGAGCCGCATGACCCAGCCCCTTGGAGCTCGGGGGTCCACGGCTCGCTCCCATCCTCCGGGCCCCGCCCACTCAGGTGAAGGCGGGAGCCCCAGAGGACGCTGACTTGGGGGGCCGGTGCACTCACCCCACAGACCCACCTCTGCCTGCCTCAGAGGCTTTATCCTTTTTTTTTTTCCAGTTACCTGGGGGAAGGGAGGGTCCAGAGAGGGGAAGATGCTCCCCCAGCCACCTGGGGGTAGGGGTGTCTCTAGGCTCCCGGGAAAAGACCACGGGCCGGAGACCTCGGGAGGACCCTGATGGCCGCCTGCGGGAGTTGTAACCGGCTGTGTGCCCGGGGCCGAGGCAAGGACACAGGCCGCTGCCCACCGGACAGAGCGCCCAGGAGGAGGCAAGGACACAGGCCGCCCCCCACCCCACCGGACAGAGCGCCCAGGAGGAGGCAAGGACACAGGCCGC